CGTTTTTTATTTTTCTTGAGTATACATTTTCTCTTGCATATCATTGAGTTGTCTCACAATCCATGTTCGAAATTCTTCTGTCATTTCAGTGTTCTGAATTTGGTTGGTATCCATTGCTAGAGCGCTGGCATTCCCCTTTGGGGGTGTCCTTTCAGTTCGATTCTTCATACTTTCAGAGTTCTTTCACTGATTCCTTCCCATCTGGAGCAGCTGTTGCATCTTACCGTTGGATTTTCGTTTAGATAATGACATGCCCAGTTTATTCTCTGAGCCAGTAGGTGGTGCTTGTGGGTGAGAATCGAGCACACTCTGTACGATGAGTCAGTAAATGTAGTAAAAGGGGATGCAAATTGGCCTCCCCATCAGTAAGTGGCGCTTGCCCGGAGGAGCAAGCTGCAATGTTGTTTTTGGGTCCTGTAACCAGGTCTTGTTTCTCTGAAGAGGCACTCAGGTGGTGCCTCAGGTGGTGGGTAGGGCCCTGGAGCTTCCAGGTGTGTCTTTATTACCCACCTCCGCAGGGGCAGGTGGGGCAGTGAGGCTGGGTGGGGCTGGGTTGGGTGAGCCGGCCCTCAAGCTTCTTTAACCTACTTTTAAACTCTTCCTTCCGTCTAACTCTTACTCGGGGATTGAAGAAAATCTATTTCTCTGAGGCTCTGCTGATCTATCTCTGCCCACCTTTCTTCCTTTCTCCACTTTCTTTCTTCCCTATTGTCCTTCCTTGATTCAGCCAAAATTTGGCCTAACCATTGCAACATGAGAGTTACACAACTGCTAACCTCCAGGTAAAATATAAGAAAGCCCTATGACCTGAAGTCAAATTTACATCTAAAAGAAAACCAGTGCTCAATGATGCAAAGCAATGGAAACTACCCAACAATACTGGAGGTAGTGTAATGGAAAACAATTTTATAATAGAATAAAGGTGCACCTATCCTACAACCCTGAAATTCCACTCCTAGGTATATGCCTTAGAGATACTCTTACACATGTCCAACACAGGACATAATAAGAATAGTTAAAACAGCAAATGTTTGTTGCCAACATGTTACTTGTTCATATGGTGGAATACTGTTTGGCAATGAAAATTATGAACTACAGCTACACACACAGCAAAGGTGAATCTCACAAACATACTATGTAGGGGATACCATCCAGATCTCCTATTCCAGGCCAGTATCCTCACCCTCAGCTCCTCTGAGTATTGGTTGCTAATAGTTCAGAGGAGTTGGCCCCTTCTGTAGAAAATTGCCCTTAGCTCAAAAAAAAAAAAAAAAGAAAGAAAGAAAAGAAAACCAGTGCTGTAAACCTTTAAAACTCCTAAGAACTCCCAGAAGTTCTTTTCAGCGTCATTACAAACCTGTTCTATCTGCTCAACATCTGTCTTTCCTCAAATGGCACACTAAAGGTGTGATTTCTTGTTTCCCTGAGTTTAAATGCCATCAATATGATAGGAGTATTATTTTATATCTATTAATATAATTTTTAGTAGGTACACACAATTTTTGTTACATTTAAGATTATGTAGGATTTTGTGAGTTACACTAGAGATCTAAACCAGATCTAACATTGTTAAGGGGAACATGTTTCTATTTTACAAATCTCAGGTACACAACCCATTCTGTGGCTGGGTTATGTCTTTTAGTGCTAGCTTAATAGTGAATACCAAGTAGAAATATGCAGTGGGAGAAAAATCTGACCCCAGTGAAGTTATTCTGTGCTAAATTTTTAGAGGGCATAGAAGTGTGATCTCATTAGCAAGAAAATAGTCTTAGCATCAGCAATCTAATAAATCTCAAACACTTATCCATGTATCTGGTCAGGAAATATTGTTACATCTGTAGGCAGGCACTGTGCAAGGCCCCAGGGATAACTCAGTGGGAAGGGCAAACACGGAGCTTATGGTCCAAAGAAGTCATCTCACAAAGAAGCCTAGATGCGTGTTCCGTGGTGTGCTCTGGGAAGGAAAGGTGCCAGCACACCCACAGTCCCACTGGAGCTCACCTGGCTGGAGGCCCAGGCACAGCTATGGGCAGGCTGTGGCCTTGATGTGGGTTCTTCAAAAGCACTAGTTCTAACCCATCCAAACTAGTAAAGTTATTCTGATAAATATAAGTAATCATATTTTTATGACTAGGTTGATTCATCCCAAAATGAATAATCAAAGTCTTGGGCTACTAGTTTTTTCTGGGGACTTCCAAAGATACAAGACTTTGGTTATTCTGTGAATTATCACCAGGCTTATATTTTCACTATCAGCTTTTAAAAAAATTATTTATGGACATTTGAGTGAAGCCAATGTTATCGTTAATAGCTCTAAACATTATTGTTATAAATTGATGATAATAGCAATATAAGGGATTATGTGTAAGGGTGCCCAACTTTGTGCCTGGAATATAGGAGTCACAAGATAAATATAAATTGAATCTAAAAATTCTTCGCAATGTAAAAGTGATACTTAAAGTGGAAAGAACTCACAATTACAACAAAACGATGGAAAGAATAATCTCCAACAGAGTGGAGACATTCAGAAGGCCAGAAATTGAAGTGGCAAAGAGGAAAGGCTTACTTATACATCGGGTTTTTATCACGTTTTCTTATGTTTATGGAGGGATATGATTTGACCTGTAACATGCCCTTATTTATTTATTAACAAATTATGTTATAATGAGATTCTACTATATTTAATGGATACTGAGAGAAATGTAACTAAATAATCATATGAAGCATGTTTAAATGAAAAGTTTTAGATGAAATTATGTAAGTAGGCAGTTATTTAATATATGACTGCAATGGTTTGGACAATTGTTCAGCAAACATCCATCCTCCTCCCCCTTCCCTTGTGGGCAGAGTGTCCTTCTCCACACCCTGTACCATGCGTGTGGCCGTGCGACTCGGTCTGGTCAATGAATGTTAGTGGACGTGATGTAGGCAGAGGCTTGAGATGTGCTAGGCAGCTGTGCTTATCCTTCTGTGCTCCTGCACAGAAAGTGCCTCAGGTGGGTGTCAGTCCAAGGGTGAAACACACGTGGTGCAGACCTGAACCCAACCCCAACTTGAAGCCAGATCAGCTGACAGTAGCCTGCCCAGAGAGGTGTGAGCTGACGTACAACATGCTTGTCATTGTTTGACATCGAGTTTTGGGGTGGCTTGTTATGCAGCATTATTACAGCAACAGCTGACTGTTTTGATAACCAAAGTCTCATATTTTTGTTAGGGAATTTTGTTTCAAATTAAACTTAAAGATAGCCAAGACTGTTTAAAAGTTAGAATACCTATAAAAAATTTCAGAATTAGAGGTTTTATAAAATGTATAACCTTTTGAATTGAAAACCATCATGCTCTTGAGCTGCCTACAGTCTATGGGTAACCCTTGCCAGATAACACAGCTCTCCAAACCCCAGCATATTGCAGGCCCGTCCTCCCCAAACCTGTAACAAAAAAGCCCTGCTCACATAGAGTTGCTAACAGCGAACGTAAAGGAGACTGGAGAAATACTACACTCTGAGTTGTGTGGAGCCTAAACACTTAAAGTCATTCAACTGAAAATAAATATTGTTTTGGCACGCATATTTTAAGAGGGCAGGAGACCTCAAACCTTTGACAGTTTTAGGCTCGAGTGTTGCCTTTCCTGGCAGGCTCACTCTTTGCCGTGCCAGACAGCCAAGATTCATTTTTCGCAGCAGGTGGGAGCCTCAATAATTTAAGCAAAATGTTGCCTCTTTCAGCCAAGGAAAATGCAGCTCACTGAGGAATGTTGCAATAGAGCATCCAAATAGAAAATCATAGCCACAAAATTGGAGCATCCTACTGTGGGCAGGAAGGGAGACCCACTCTCTCACTTCATTGCCCTTTTGGCTTCCATAGTTGAAGAGCAGGGAGGATGAGAGAACGTCCCAGATGTTGTTAACTCAGGGAAGCTATCTGAAAGTTATTCTAGTTTATTTTCCCTAAGTAAATAAGACAAGCCATCACGCCTCCTTTCAATTGTGGATTGGAATCTATTTTGGCATAATTTCTTCAACCAAATTGAATTAATATACTTGCCATTTATTTTGCCTTGTAAAATTCCTTTTCATACAATTTCATAAACAGGAGACAAATAGAGAGATTCAATGAAATATATGTGTTGTGCTAAAATTGTTACACCTCATCTTAAAAGTGAGTCTGCAGCAGTTTTTCTTTGTGAAAAGGTAAAAATGTCAACTCGATGTCAAAAATAGCACATACTATCACTTATCTGTAGTGACATTGATCTTAAAACTGATGAAATAGTAGAATAGCATATATATTCATGATTACTTCTGTAGCATTTTTGAGAATTGTAAACAAATGGCATAGATGGTCACCATCAAAATGTTCTTAAAGAAGGGAAGTCTTTCAAGATTATTTTGTGATTTTATATTTGCTGACCAAAATATATCTCTCTGATTAGGTCTTGACACATTAAATTCTAAATTAGAATTTGAATCTTTAGAAAATAATCTGGTGAAAAGCACAATGTTCTAGTCTTTAGTTCTCAAAAAAGGAAAAATTTCCTTGAAACCAGCTCAGTTCAGCATTTAAGTATTAAAATATTAGTAACATTATGCGCATGAATATTTTTTACCATTTTCCTTCCCTCTCTTAGAAAGAACTAGTATATATTGCAAACTTTAGTAATTGTGTTTCCTTAATAAGTGTAGCAAATAGGGAACAAAAACAAGATAAAAAGGTTTTATTCTAGACAGTTTCATTCAGCATAATTTCAACTTTCAAATTATAGGAACATAAATGAATGTCCTACTTCTGCATTAAAAGTACTTGACTACTTTGTGGGATGTTTTGTGCCAATTCTTTACTAAATTATCTTGGTCACCGTTGCTAGGTAACACCGGTGGCTTCCCGCAGCTGAAAAATGAGAGGGTTATAGGGAGCAATTCAGCATTATTATCATTTGACTAATAAGGTTTTTTTATTAATTTTTTTGACTGTATATCTTAGCATTTTCTCTCCTTTCCCAGGGAATGTCATTGTCTATGGGAATACAATCGATACTTACACCACCATGGAAACGCTCTTAAACATTGGCGTGAAGGGCTCCTGCATCTTCCTCGTGCAGCCCCCGCCTACCTCCACCGTCACCTGCATCAACAACTACTCAGTGGAGAGCGCAGTGGAGGATTCACTCAAAGCAGCTGGGGTGACCATTTACCGAGATGCGATCTTGGCCCAGTGGAATGATGGCCTGAACCCCGACCCCATTCACAGCGCCAGCTTCACCACGCCCACCAAGCCTTTCCGACTTCAGTGCTCTGTAAGTCGGTCCCCACGAGATTCACTCGCCAGCTAGGGAGAGCGGTCATCTCCCAGGGATTTGGGGGTCTAAAGATTGTGGGCAGTGAATTTATTATTATTTATTTATTTAGAGACAGTCTTACTCTGTCGTCCCGGATAGAGTGCAGTGGGGTCATCATGGCTCACTGCAACCTCAAACTCCTGAGCTCAAGCGATCCTCCCACCTCCACCTCCCAGAGTGCTAGGATTACAGGCATGAGCCATCGCGCCCGGCCTGGGCAGTTAATTTATAGTCACAGATATTGGGCTTTGTGTTCTAATTGTTCAGATTATCTCTTGTTGAGTAACAAGACATCCCAAACTTAGTGGCATAAAGCAACAACAATCTCTTATTATCTCTCCTGATCTGGAGGTTTGACTGGTTTCAACTGGGCAGTTCTTACTCAAGGTCTCTCAGACGGTTGAAGTCAGACAGTGGATGGAGCTGGAATCATCTAGAAAGCATGTTCACTCACGTCTGGCTGTTGGTGCTGGATCAACTTAGTTCATATTTTGTCCAGAACACTTATGAGTGACTCCTTTGTGGGACTGGGCTTCTTCATGGCATGGTGGCTTGGTTCTAAGGGCAAGTTGAGAGAGAGAAACGGAGGTGGGGACGCTGGGTCACCTTGTATGACCTAGCCCCTGAAGTCAAGCAGCGTCATTTCCACCGCATTCTGTTTGCTAGAGGCAATTCACAATGGCCAGCCCATATTCAAGGGGAGGGGAATTAGACCCCGCCTCTTCGTGGAAGGAGTGTCAAAGATTTGAAGAGTGTCACCATTTACTGAGAGCTTGCCATGTCCCAGGCATGGTGCTGCATGCTTGCAGTACATTCTGTCACCTCATCATGACAGCTCTGAGGAAGGAAGCATCCCTGAGAACGCGGTGGCTCCAAGTCCGTGGTGCTGGAATCCCAGCCCTGGTCAGCAAGGTCCCAGAGTCTGTGCTACCATCAACTTCTCAAGATTCTGGAAACAGCAGCAGGGGGTCTTTCCCACTGCATAGAGACTTTGAAGGTATGCACAGAGAGAGTACTTTCCTCTGGGGTGTGGAATAGCCTGGCCTCTAACCTTTGTCCTCAAGAGTTCCCAGATCAGGAGGTTAGTAGAAGCCCTCAGGGAGGGAGTGAGGGAAGGGACCAGCCTGTCTAACTGGACCCCTGCACAAAGAGGAGCTGAAGTCAGTGTGAGGACTTGAGTGGTGTAGGTCAAGAGTGTATGTGAGCAGTTGTGATAAAGAGCGCCAGCTACCATGTGGTGGGCAGACCAATTAGGGGTAGGATTCACAGCAGTCCCTACCTAGGAATAAGGGGTGGTCAGCCTAAGGCAGGGCTTCTCTCCCAGGTGCCTCCTCTAAGCATTAAGGATGGTGACACCCCCCCACCACCCCCCGCAACCCAGAGTCCAGACAGGGGCTCAAAGCAGACCTCCACAATAGAGATTTCTCTGGAATCTCTTGTTTTATCCTGGGATCCATGGAAATTTTGTATTCTTCTCTTTAGTCCATCCATTTATTCATTCATTGAATTTATTCTTTTATTCATCCCACACCTACTAGGCTCTGTCCTAGGTGTTAGGGATATAGCAGTGTAAAAGACAGGAAAAGTCCATTCGATTTTAAAAGTGATATTGTCTATGCATGTACGTCACAACACCTATTTAAGATAGGAAAAATAAAAATGTTTTTACCCAAATTTTTCCCCAAAAGTGACAATCTTGGAAGATTTCCAAGTTTATCCTGGGCACCCTCTGGAGGTGAGCATGTACTCTGTTTAGGAAGCAGAGGCCTAAGAAAACCTCCCCAAATACCTGGATACAGGTTCTCTAGCGATACCCTCTGACCTTTACTTTCGTATCAGGTTAGGATCAGAATAATGGCAAAATCATCTCGCACATACAGTTGGCCTTTGAAGAACACAGAGGATTTAGGGGCACTAACCCCTCCTTGCACAGTCGAAAATCCATATATATTAATAACTTTCAACTCCTCTGAAACTTAACTTCTAATAACCTACTGTTGCCCGGAAGCCTTACTGATAACATAAACAGTTGATTAGCACATTTTGTATGTTAGATGTATGGTACACTGTATTCTTACAATAAAATAAGCTAGAGAAAAATGTTATTAAGAATATCATAAGGAAGAAAAAATATGTTTACTGTGCATTAAGTGGAAGTGGATCATCATAAAGGTCTTCATCCTTCATGTTGAGTAGGCTGAGGAGGAGGAGGAGGAGGAGGAGGGGTTAGTCTTGCTGTCTCAGGGCAGAAGAAAATCCACGTGTAAGTGAACCCACACAGTTCAAAACTATGTTGTCCAAGGATCAACTGTACTCTTAACTGCCTTGATCCAAGGCCCCTTCCTGTGAAACCTGCATGTTAAAGCAGTCTGTGTCATGCACTGGCCTGTCTGCTGTCAGATCCTGTGTCCTGCCTTCCCCTGGCCTGCCTGGCATCCCAAGGAATGGCCCCTGCAGACAGCATTTCCCAGACTCTGGAAGTCTCTGATTTTCATCTGTAATTGGCCAACAGTGTGCACTTGTGGGAGATTAGAAATGGGAAGGGAGAAGTCAGGATATTTCTCTCTCTTAACGTCTACTTTGGACAGCATCTGTCAGGGCATTAGGCAACCTTGGTGGGGATGAATATGTTCATTATCTTGACTACGGTTTTGGTGTTGGGGGTTGAGTTACATCCCCCAGAACGATACATTGAAGTCCTAAAGCAAACATGGTCTTATATGGAAATAAGGTCTTTGTAGATGTCATCAAGTGAGGAGAAGGTCACCCTGGATCAGGGTGGGCCTTAAATCCAATGGCTGGTGTTGGAGAGAGATTTGATGACACAGAGGAGACACACGAAGAGGAAGGTCATGTGACGATAGAGGCAGAGATTGGAGTGATGGCAGCTACAGTCATGGAGTGGCAAGAATTGCCAGCAACCACCAGAGCTAGGAAGAGGCAAGGAAGGATTCTTCCCTAGAGCCCCTAGAGGGCGCGTGGTCCTGACCATACCTTAATTTCAGACTACTAGTCTCCAGAACTGTGAGAGAATAAACTTAGTACCACTTGTGGTACTTTGTTACAGCAGCCCTAGGAAACTAAAATAGATGGTATCACAAGTGTATGTACTCACTGAAACTACAATTTTTATAACTGGAATGACACATTATACACTAGGTTTTTATTTGACTTCCTTTACTCAGCATAGTGTGGCATGGTGTATCGTGTTTTTAATTTGTACTTCCCTGATAACTAATGACGTTAGATGTCTTTTCATGTGCTCATTGGCCATTGGTATATATCTTCCTATGATGTGCTCGAGCTATTATAAATATTAATATATCTTTAAATTTTTGTTTTGCAGTTGATCACTGCTAATTTATAACATGCAATTGATTTCATATATAAACATTGTTACCTGAAACTTTGCTAAATTCACTTACTAGTTCTGGTAGTGATTTGGAGATTCCACATAGTTCCATGTATCAATAGTTCATTCCTTTTTAGGGCTGAGTAGTATTTCATTATATGGATATACCAGTGTTTATTCATTTGCCTGCTGTGCACATTCTTGTATACATCCTTGTTTAGATATATATTAATATTTTTGTTTCTCTTAGGTATAAACCTAAAGAATAGCTAGGTCATATGGTAGGTGAATGTTTACCTTTTTAAGAAGTTGCCATATTGCTCTCCAAACTAGCTATGCCATTTTATATTTCCACTAGCAATATATGAGAGTTCTAGTTGCTCCACAGTCTTGTCAGCACTTGGTATTGTCAGTCTTTTTTTTTCTTTTTTTTGTGACAGAGACTTGCTCTGTCGCCTTGGGTAGAGTACCATGGTGTCAGCCTAGCTCACAGCAACCTCAAACTCCTGGGCTCAAGCGATCCTCCTGCCTCTGCCTCCCGGGTAGCTGGGACTAGAGGCATGCGCCACCATGCCCGGCTAATTTTTTCTATTTTTAGTTGTTTGGCCAATTTCTTTCTATTTTTCCAGGGTCAGTCTTTATTTTAGCCATTCTCGTGAGTATGCCATAGTGTATCATTGTGTTTTTAGTTGGTGCTTTCCTGATCATTAATGGTGTTGGGCATCTTTTCATGTGCTTATTGACCATTCATATGTCTTCTTCTATGATATGTCTGAGCTATTATAAATGTATTTTTTAAATTTGTTTTCCAATTGATCACTGCTAGTTTACAAAACGCAATTTATTTTGTATATAAAAATTGTAACCTCAGCCAGGCGTGGTGGCTCATGCCTGTAATCCTATCACTCTGGGAGGCCGAGGCGGGCGGATAATTTGAGCTCAGGAGTTCGAGGCCAGCCTGAGCAAGAGCGAGACTCTGTCTTTACTAAAAAAATATAAAGAAATTAGCTGGACAACTAAAAATATATATATAAAAAATTAGCCGGGCATGGTGGCGCATGCCTGTAGTCCCAGCTACCCAGGAGGCTGAGGCAGGAGGATTGCTTGAGCCCAGGAGTTTGAGGTTGCTGTGAGCTAGGCTGATGCCACCACACTCTAGCCCGGGCAACAGAGCGAGACTGTGTCTCAAAAAAAAAAAAAAAAATTGTAACCTGAAATTTTGTTAAATTCAATTATTAGTTGTGGTAGTTGCTTTCTAGATCCATAAACATATCATGCAGTTTCACTTCTTCTTTTCTGATAGTTAGGCCTTTTATTTCAGATACTTCCTTCATTCCACTGGCTAGGACCTCCAGCGCAATGTTGAATAAAAGTAGGGGTAATAGACTCATTGTCTTGTTCCATATCCCAGGAGAGAACTTTCAGGTTTTCACTATTAAATATGACGGAAGTTGGCTGTGAGTTTTTCTTTGGTGCCTTGTCTTACAATGAGGAAGTAACCTTTCATTGCTAGTTTGTTCAAAGGATTTATCTTGAATGGCTGTTGAATTTTATTGAATGAATTTTCCTTATCTCTTAAAAACGTCATATTCTTTTCGAATTCTTT